ACAAATAAAGAAAACACAATAATAATGGAGGATTTCAACTGTCCTCCTAGTAACTGGGTACAAGTCACCTCAAGAAGGGATGAGAAAGATAAAATTTCTAGACACATTAAATGACTTCTTCTTGGAGCAGCTTGTCCTGGGACCCAAATGGGGAAAGGCAATTCCTGATTTAGTCCTAAGTGGAGCACAGGATTTGGTCCAAGAGATAAATATAGCTGAACCGCTTGGTACCAGAAACCATAATGTAATTAAATGTAACACGCTTATGGGGGGGTGGAGGCATACCAAAGAAGCCCACCACAATAGCATTTAAGATCAAAAAGGAGAACAGCACAAACATGAGGAAGCTAATGAAATGGAAATTAAAAGGAATAGTCAAAAAAAGTGAAGTGCCTACAAATTATCCAAATACTTAAAGCCCAAAAATGCCAACATGGCTAAATAGCAGAGTAAAAGAGGTGATTAGCGGCAAAAAAGCATCCTCTAAAAATTGGAAGTCAAATCCTGTGGAGGAAAATAGAAAGGAGCATAAACTCTTGCAAGTCAAGGGTTGAGGTATAATAAGGCAGGCTAAGAAAGAATTTCAAGAGCAACTAGTTAAAGACTCAAAAACTAACATACAAAAAAGCAGGAAGCCTGCCATACAATCAGTGGGACCACTGGGTGACCAAGGTGCTATAGGAGCACTCAGTGAAGATAAAGCCGTTGCAGAGAAGCTAAATGAATTCTTCACTGCAGAGGGTGGAGGGAGATCCCCACATCCAAGCCAATCTTTTTAGGCGATAAATCTGAGGCACACTCCTAGATTGAGGTGTCAGTAGAGGTGATTTTGGAACAGTAATAAGTCACCAGGACCAGATGGGATTCACCCAAGAGTTCTGAAGGAACTCAAATGTGAAATTGCAAAACTACTAACCGTGGTATGTAACTTAAATCAGCTTCTGTACCAGATGACTGGAGAATAGCTAATGCGACCCTGATTTTTTTTAAATAAGGCTCCAGAGGCAATCCTGGCAATTGCAGGCCAGGCAAACTGATTGAAAGTATAATAAAGAACAGAATTATCAGACACACAGATGAAGATGATTTGTTGGGGAAGAGTCAATACAGCTTTTGAAAGGGAAATCATGTCTCATCAATCTATTAGAATTCTCTGAGGGTATCAAGTATGGGTGATCCAGTGGATATAGTGTACTTAGACTTTCAGAAAGCCTTTGATAAGGTCCTTCACCAAAGGCTCATAAGCAGTCATATGCAATAAGAGGGAAGGTCCTCGCCTGGATCAGTAACTGGGTAAAAGACAGGAAACAAAGGGTAGGGATAAACGGTCAGTTTTCACAATGGGGAGAGGTAAACAGCAGGGTCCCTGAAAGATCTGTACTGGGACCTGTGCCATTCAACATATTCATAAATGATCTGGACAAGGGGGGTGAACAAAATTTGCAGATGATACAAAATTACATAAGATAGTTAAGTCCAAAGCTGATGGCGAAAAATTACAAAGGTATCTCATTAAACTTGGAGACTGGGCACAACATGGTAGATGAAATTTAATGTTGATAAGTGCAAAGTAATGCACATTGGAAAAAATAATCCCAACTATACATATAAAATGATGGGGTCTAAATTAGCTGTTACCACTCAAGCCAGAGATCTTGGAATCATTATGGAAAGTTCTCTGAAAACATCCACTCAATGTTCAGCAGCAGTGAAAAAAGCTAACAATGTTAGGAACCATTAGGAAAAGGATAGATGATAAAACAGAAAATACCTTAATGCCACTATATAAATCCATGGTATATAAATCCATGGTACACACACACCTTCAATACCGCGTGCAGTTCCAGTTGCCCCATCTCAAAAGAGAGATATTAGAATTGGAAAGGCTACAGAGAAGTGCAACTTAAATGATTAGGGGTATGGAGACTGTTCATCTTAGAAAAGAGATGGCTAAGGAGGGATATATTAGAGGTCTGTAAAATCATTAATGGTGTGGAGAAAGTGAATAAGGAATTGTTATTTACCCTTTCATATAACACAGGAACTAGAGGTTACCAGATGAAATTAATAGGTAGCAAGTTTAAAACAAACACCTCTTCACACAACGCACAGGCAACCTGGGGAACTTGTTGTAATGGGAAGTTGTGAAGGTCAATAGTATAACTGGGTTCAAAAAAGAATCAGATAAGTTCATAGCGAATTGGTCCATCAATGGCTACTACCCACGATGGTCAAGGGTGCAACCCCATGCTCTGGGTTTCCCTAAACCTCCAACTGCCAGAAGCTGGGACTGGATGACAGGGGATGGATCACTCAAAATTGCCCTGTTCTATTCATTCCCTCTGAAGCATCTGGCACTGGCCACTGTTGGAAGACAGGATACTGGGCTAGATGGACCATTGGTCTGACCCAGTATGGCCGTTCTTATGTTCTTCTGAAAATGAAGGCTGGGAACGCACCAGGGTAGATAATGTGCCTGCAGAATTGTTGAAAGAGATTAGCAAACAGGGTACTGAACTGATCTAATGTTGAAAATTTAGAATGCTGTATGGATGACAAAAATTGGCAAGAGGACCAGACAAAATAAGTTTTTCTGCTCTTACTAAACCAGGAGACATACGGAGTGTAGTAACTATCATACCATCTCCCTGATATCACACGTGAGCAAAGTTCTGGTTTATATTACCCAGGATCACATGAAACGGATAAAAGCAGACGTTCCACCACAACAAACTGGTTTCAGAGAGAGTCAAGGCACATGCGACTGAATGGCGAATATCCGTCACATCATTGAAAAATGCAGTGGGTACAACCATCCCTTGATCAGGTGCTTCATGTGCTAACCGCAGTGATGGAGTGATTATGGGTGAATTCCTGCCTCCCCAAAGACTGGTGTAGGGGTCTCCATCCCAAGGCAAGAGGTGGGAGTTTCTAACTCCCCAGAAAGGGGACCTCCCACCACCACATGGGCACAACTGTGGTGACTCCCTTAGGAATAGACCAACACGTGTTGGTGACTCGATCCAACACGACCGCCTTTGGAGAGTACTGGCAGACCTATGGATTTCAAAGCATACCAATGAACTCACTGCAAGTCTCTACTATGAACAACATTCCACAGTGCAAACAGCAATCGGTGACAATGAGCAGATTTCCACTGGGAGGGATGTGAGACAAGGGTGTATATTGTACCCAAGCCTCTAACATATAAACAGAATTTATTATGAGACCAGCCTTGGAAGGTTTGGGCAAAGTGGAAGGAGCTGGGATCTTCCTCTTAACCAACTTCAGATATGCTGATGGATTCTCTTTGATACAACACGGCTGCAATGCAACAAGTCTGCAAAAACAGTTTGTGAGGAATACAGACTGTTCCTGAATGCAATGAAAACAAAATGCATGTACATTGACATGACTAACAAAACAGGATGCAAATGGACACCACAATTAACTGACAAGCTGGAGAAGCAGTAGAATTCAATTATCTGGGATCATGCACACCAACCAAGGAGGCTGTTCCGAAGAAATCAGAAGGCTAGGGACAGCTTGCTCAGCTATAGCCTCCTTTAAGAAAGTGTGGGGAAACCGTGGTATCTCGGAATGTAAAAAGGTGCAACTGGTGAAAAGCCTAATTTTTTCTCTAGCGATTTATGGATGTGACTCATGGGAAGTTAATGCTGCTGACAAGAAGAAAATTAAAGTTTTTGAAATGTGGTGCTGGCAAAGACTCTTGCGTATCTCCTGGATGGAAAAAAAAGACAAATGCCTGCGTTAGAGATACTGTTGGGGAGAAACAGGCCCTGATGTCGGAAATCAACAGATGCAAATGGATGTCGCTTGGTCACATTAGAAGATGGAAATAACCTTGAGAAAGTTACTATGGAAGGAACGGTGGAGGATCATTGCAGATGGACACCTGCTGTTGCAGGGACACAGCAACAGAGTGTCTGAGCTTGGGACAGGGGACAGGCCCAGGGAGCAGCTGGTCTGTCTGTCCACGGTGAGGTTGTACTGTGCTGCACAGAGAACCAGCCTTAGCCCAAAGGAAAGGGGTGCCCCGATTGGTGACTGACTGGGGGAGTGATGCTGGAGCGGCACTTGGGCTGTTTGCTGATGATAGGTTGTTACTGACCGCAGTGATGGAGTGATTATGGGTGAATTCCTGCCTCCCCAAAGACTGATGTAGGGGTCTCCATCCCAAGAGAAGAGGTGGGAGTTTCTAACTCCCCAGAAAGGACACCCCACCACCACCACCACACGGGCACAACTGTGGTGACTCCCTTAGGAATAGCAGACCAAGCACAGAACTTACTTAGCTGAAAGAGAATAAAGAGAATATGGTGGAAGATATGCTGATCACACAAAGTGTCCCAGTTCGACCCATCCACGATAGAATTAATATGTAGGCAACTGTATTCTTTGAAAAATGTCATTCTCTGGGGACAGAGAAACGTTTGCTGTCCTTACCCCATCTGTGACCCAAAACAAGTTCCTGTGCACCAAAATGTATTCCAATTGGTGTTGGGTCAGTTTTATACTCCACAGAAGCCAGATCTTCAGCTGGTGTGAACTGGTGTAGCTCCATTGTGGAGTTACCCCACTCAGACTAGCAGAGGATTAGGCAGGCATACGACTCAAACGAGCGGAGGCTATTATCTGCTTGTACATGGGCTTAACGATCAGTGGTTTCAAAACGCTCTTACAGCTTTTCTATGTCAATTATGTGTAGCTGTTTTGAAACAGGGATTATGAAATGGTTATTAACTTGGGCCCTCTGCCTCAGCTGCTGAAACCTTCTCCATTGTAGGGTGGATTTCTCATCACTGTTGCACACTGAGGGAGAACAAAAACCAAAAAAACTTGACAGCAACAACTAAAAGCCATCTGTAGAAAAGAATCACTAGCAAGAAACAAAGCAAAGATTCATGAGCTGCATGCTCAGTGTCATTCCATTCATCTCTTTGATTTGCTAGAGGGGTTTCTCTGCTGTGGTGGTTTACCTCTGGTGGTAGCTGTTTCTCCATCCACGTGAGCCATGCGCTGCATGGCAGTTGCTCCGACACATATTGGCATGCTGATTTTCTGCCCGAAGACAGAGGTGGACAGGTCCATAACAGACACATCCCTGAGCATCCGTGGGTACAGCCTCAATCTGACAGAAAGGGGAGGGGGGAGAAAAAAATGAACTCTATTATTCACAGCTCACAAGGAATGAGATCAGGGTTCCTTTCATCGGGCCAATCGTCAGGACAGGTTGAGAAGAGAAGGAAGCCCTGAGAGCTATTTGAAAGGTAGGCAGGGGTTAGGTAAAAGCTAGGGAGGGACACAGCTTTAACTGTGTATATATATCTTTCTACTGTATCTTCCACTGCATGCATCCGATGAAGTGGGTTTTAGCCCACGAAAGCTTATGCTCAAATAAATTTGTTAGTCTCCAAGGTGCCACAAGGACTCCTCGTTCTTTTAGCTTTAATTTACTATCCCAAGCTTCTGTGAAGCTGATGAAATGCACAAAGCAAAGGGGGAAAGGAATCAATAAAGGAGGAAAGAGGTGAAGAGCATTAGAACCGTGGCTCTCAACCTTTCCAGACGACTGTCCCCCTTTCAGGAGTCGGATTTGTCTCGCGTACCCCCAAATTTTGCCTCACTTAAAAACTACTTGCTTACAATATCGGACATAAAAATACAAAAGTGTCCCAGCCACCCTATTACTGAAAAATTGCTGTTTCTCATTTTTACCATAATAATTATAAAATAAATCAATTGGAATATAAATATTGTACTTACATTTCAGTGTACAGTATCAGAGCAGCATGAACAAGTCATTGTCTGTATGAAATTTTAGTTTGTGCTGACTTCACTAGTGCTTTTTATGTAGCCTATTGTAAAACTAGGCAAATATCTAGATGAGCTGATGTACCCCCTGGAGGACCTCTGTGGACCCCCAGGGGTACATGTACCCCTGGTTGAGAACCCACTGCCTCAGAACATTATCAGTTGATACAGTATTAAAAAAACAGCCAGCAAATGCAAAACAGTTACACGAGTCTCCATCCCAGAGCAGAAATGGGTGTCTGTCAATGTCAGATAGCAAGAAAAGTTATTATTGGTCACCTCGACGTCCCTCGATTATTTCCCCTTGTGGAACTGCGAGCCTCTGGAAACAAGCATTTCATGGAAAATGGTACAGCATGGTCAGCGATCTCATGCACTTTTGTCCCTATGTGGCTGACACCCTATGCATTGGCTGTCTATAATATGCCATGTTCTTTCCTTATGGCTAGGTTATCTTACTCCCTTCTCACCCAGTCGGGGGAGTAAGAGAGTCCCAGGTATCATAGAATCATAGATCATCAGGGTTGGAAGGGATGTCAGGAGATCATCTAGTCCAACCCCCTGCTCAAAGCAGGACCAATCCCCAATTAGATTTTTGCCCCATATCCCTAAATGGCCCCTTCAAGGATTGAACTCACAACCCTGGGTTTAGCAGGCCACTAATTGAGGGAGCTATCCCTCCCCCCCCAAAAGGTCATTGAGTCCAGCCCCCATGAGTCTAGCCTTCACTATCAGGACCAAGTACTGATTTTTGCCCCAAATCCTTAAGTGGCCCCCTCAAGGATTGAACTCACAACCCTGGGTTTAGCAGGCCAATGCTCAAACCACTGAGCTATCCCTCCCCCCAGGTAAGCCTTTCATTCCCTGGCATGGGTTACCTGCATCATCGTTGGTGACCTTGTGGGGAGAACACTCTCCACCGGGCTTGCTCTAGATGCAAATCACAAGATTACTCTGTTGGATTAGCTGAATTAGTTTGACAGTTTAATTTTTGTCAACTCAATGGCTGCATTAAGTGACAAATGAGTAGACAGGCGATCAGTGAATATCCTAGCAGGTGAGCTATTATGTGACAATTAACTGGGTACGCCCCGTGCACATTTTGAGAGGAGTGGCATGTAAATACATTGGATTGTAAAATGCTTCTTTGATTTTTCAGGCAATGGGGAGAAGTTTGAGTAGCAGGGGGGTGGGAAGGAAATGGGCAGAGCCTTGGTTTCCCTCACCCTCTCCCACTTAAAAGCAATGGCCCAGTGCAGAGGGGAAAGTCACCTGCTACTGATCTGTACCAGCAACAAGATTACTTCCTTCCTGGAGCAAGTGGGGCGGGATGGAATGAATTGAAATGCTCCATTTGTTGCATGGGCTGCTTACGCACAGCCACGCACTCCCTCTTAGGCAGGGCTGATGGGTAAATTACACTCTACCTCCTTGAATGAGTCTGGCAGAATCCGTCTGACCATCCCAGCCCCTGTATTGGGCCCCATCCATTCCAACGCCTGGAAATAACATCGTTGCAGAGCACACCATTCTGGTTCTTTATAAGGGCCAGATTCCCAAAATGGATGCCATGAAACGGTATTCCAAAACAGGTACCAGAAGAGTCATGTATTGCCTGGCAACAAAGCCGAATATCATGTGCTTAGACAGTAAGCAACTCAGGACAGGGAGTCTTTGTACAGCACCTAGCACCGTGGGGTCCTGGTCCCTCCCTGCCTCGCCCCCTCCCTCCCCGTGATATCACAATATAAGTAACAAATATGCATGTGGTGACGTTAACGCTGGGCTGTCTGTCAAGTCACGCTTACTGCGAGCAACAGGCTGAGTTCCGAAAGACAACAGTAAAAAGAACAGGAGTACTTGTGGCACCTTAGAGACTAACAAATTTATTAGAGCATAAGCTTTCGTGGGTTACAACCCACTTCTTCGGATGCATATAGAGTGAAACATATATTGAGGAGATATATATACACACATACAGAGAGCATGAACAGGTGGGAGTTGTCTTACCAACTCTGAGAGGCCAATTAAGTAAGAGAAAAAAAACTTTTGAAGTGATAATCAAGATAGCCCAGTACAGACAGTTTGATAAGAAGCAAGTGTGAGAATACTTACAAGGGGAGATAGATTCAATGTTTGTAATGGCTCAGCCATTCCCAATCCCTATTTAACACTGAGTTGATTGTGTCTAGTTTGCATATCAATTCCAGCTCAGCAGTCTCTCGTTGGAGTCTGTTTTTGAAGTTTTTCTGTTTTAAGATAGCCACCCGCAGGTCTGTCATAGAATGGCCAGACAGGTTAAAGTGTTCTCCCACTGGTTTTTGAGTATTATGATTCCTGATGTCAGATTTGTGTCCATTAATTCTTTTGCGTAGAGACTGTCTGGTTTGGCCAATGTACATGGCAGAGGGGCATTGCTGGCACATGATGGCATATATCACATTGGTAGATGTGCAGGTGAACGAGCCCCTGATGGTATGGCTGATGTGATTAGGCCCTATGATGGTGTCACTTGAATAGATATGTGGACAGAGTTGGCATCGGGCTTTGTTACAAGGATAGGTTCCTGGGTCAGTGTTTTTGTTCAGTGATGTGTGGTTGCTGGTGAGTATTTGCTTTAGGTTGGGGGGTTGTCTGTAAGCGAGGACAGGTCTGTCTCCCAAGATCTGTGAGAGTAAAGGATCATCTTTCAGGATAGGTTGTAGATCTCTGATGATGCGCTGGAGAGGTTTTAGTTGGGGGCTGAAGGTGACAGCTAGTGGTGTTCTGTTCTTTTCTTTGTTGGCCCTGTCTTGTAGGAGGTGACTTCTGGGTACTCGTCTGGCTCTGTCAATCTGTTTTTTCACTTCAGCAGGTGGGTATTTTAGTTTTAAGAATGCTTGATAGAGATCTTGTAGGTGCTTAACCCCCCAACCTAAAGCAAATACTCACCAGCAACCACACATCACTGAACAAAAACACTGACCCAGGAACCTATCCTTGTAACAAAGCCCGATGCCAACTCTGTCCACATATCTATTCAAGTGACACCATCATAGGGCCTAATCACATCAGCCATACCATCAGGGGCTCGTTCACCTGCACATCTACCAATGTGATATATGCCATCATGTGCCAGCAATGCCCCTCTGCCATGTACATTGGCCAAACCAGACAGTCTCTACGCAAAAGAATTAATGGACACAAATCTGACATCAGGAATCATAATACTCAAAAACCAGTGGGAGAACACTTTAACCTGTCTGGCCATTCTATGACAGACCTGCGGGTGGCTATCTTAAAACAGAAAAACTTCAAAAACAGACTCCAACGAGAGACTGCTGAGCTGGAATTGATATGCAAACTAGACACAATCAACTCAGGGTTAAATAGGGATTGGGAATGGCTGAGCCATTACAAACATTGAATCTATCTCCCCTTGTAAGTACTCTCACACTTGCTTCTTATCAAACTGTCTGTACTGGGCTATCTTGATTATCACTTCAAAAGTTTTTTTTCTCTTACTTAATTGGCCTCTCAGAGTTGGTAAGACAACTCCCACCTGTTCATGCTCTCTGTATGTGTGTATATGTATCTCCTCAATATATGTTTCACTCTATATGCCTCCGAAGAAGTGGGTTGTAACCCACGAAAGCTTATGCTCTAATAAATTTGTTAGTCTCTAAGGTGCCACAAGTACTCCTGTTCTTTTTGCGGATACAGACTAACACGGCTGCTACTCTGAAAGACAACAGTAAAGATCGAGCCATTATTACGACCAGCCACAAGAGGGCGTGCGTTAGTAGGTATTGGTGCATGTCCTGAGTGCATTGTGAGACACAAGGAGGGAGGGCTGGGTGCTTTTGGCATGCAGTGACAAGACACGCATCAGTATTTTGCTAATGCACACACAGGGATGGCTGCTTGCTATTAGATTGTGGCGCCTGAATTTTAACTCAAGAAAACTAAGTAAAAGCTGCCTGGCTACCACTGCTGAGTCCAGACACCCAGGCTGCACTAGAGTCATGGATTCCCTTTGAAGCACCACGTCTATTATTATTATTATTCATATGAGGGTACATTCTAAATGCTCCAGTGTGCTAGGCCAATGATTCTCAAACTTTTGTACTGGTGACCCCTTTCAAATAGCAAGCCTCTGAGTGCGACCCCCCCTTATACATTAAAAACACCATTATAAATGCTGGAGGCAAAGCGGGGTTGGGGTGGAGGCTGACTCCTCGTGACCCCCTGAGGGGTCCCAACCCCCAGTTTGAGAAGCCCTGTGCTAGGCATTATAAAACCATAATAAGAGAGGGTCCCTATCCTGAAAACTTACAA